CGGAATAATAAAAATGGGTACGTATTGGAGCTCAATCCGACCTGAAAGGATTTATAACAGTGCAGGAACGTAATAGTGCCAAGCTAAGACAAGCCAGCCTGTGTAAGCAACCGAACCCTTAATTAAGTATCTGCAAAAGAAGAATACGATTTAAATTGCAGATAATGATATCCCAAGCCTTAGGCCTATGGATCTCAAACCTAATTACTTAAAGCTTTTTCGCCAGAAACCAATTCCGATTCTCAGGTTCTGAGCACGCCAGAAACTATCGATTTCTTATAAGACCGTTTATTCGAACAGCCCAGGCAATCATTTCTGCTAAGGGGTACTGTACCGAGACCGCCGGAACAGAATAATGGCCGTTAAAAAGGGTACGGAATAATGAGGTCCCTTGCAGGCATGGACCCCAAAATCTGCAAAAGAAGAATAAAATCTAAATTGCAGATATATCCCAAGCCTTAGGCCTATGGATTTCAAACCTAATTAGGGTCAAGGGTTTAGGGCTTAGGGTCTACAGTTCAATTGAAGGCTAGGCTTTAGAGTTTGAGTAGAAGTTTAAAGCGGAGGAGTTCATCAAGATTTGGGGATCGGGGTTCAAGGTTTAGGGTTCGAGGTTCGGGGTTTAAGTTCAATTCAAGGCTCAGGGTTCAGGCCTGGGCCGGGCCCCTCCCAAACCAATATTCCGGCATTTAGTTGGGGACCATGGACTATTCAGAATCGTATTTGTTAGGGGGAGGGGGCGGGCTCATTACTCAGAACCCCCCATTAACCCTAATTTTGGGACACCCTAAACCCCTATATACCTGTATAAACCTATCCAAACCCCATAATCCCTTTGGAGGTACCCCTATTTATGACTTGCGACATCAAGTTGCTGATTGGTCTCCGTGAAGAGACGCGCTGCTTCGCGGCGGCGTGGCCTGGGCTGGCTTAGGAGGCTGACGGCTTGCCGGTTGATAAGGTTTAGAGTTTAGAGCTCAGGATTCAAGGTTAGGGATAGGGATTACGGCTTAGGAATAGGGATTAGGGTTTGTCTAGGGGGAAGGGGGCCAGGGCAACTTAGTAAGTAGGGGATTAGTGAGGATAGCTGGGGTAAGCATATGAGACTTTGCCTAAATTACTTTGCCCAAAATGGGTGAAATTCCAATATAGGGACCCGTAATATGCTAGGAACCCCACTATAAGATATCTGCGCCTCACGATACTCTGCAGGCCTTTTAATTCCTGAGACGTGTGAGACACTTGACCGTAAGAGCCCATCGAAAAGTGAGGTTCAGGATTTCCGAAACTCAAGCCCTCAAATCTGAACCCTACGCAATCCCAACGGTACGCGCAAATCTATACCTCATGCCATCCCAACCATACGCAGTTCCTACCAAAGAATGACATTTTCCTCAACACCTTAAGGCTTCTACTTTACACTCCAAAGCCGGGCTGGAGCAAGAGCGAGGACCCCGCAAAGCTACCCGAACGCTTCATAGAACCGGCCCTCCTCGGCGCACCTGGCGCGGAGTCTAGGGTGCTGATCTTAGAGCAGGTGACCTACATACGCACATAATTGCACCGCATGGGCTGGGGCAGTTTACTATGACTTCTGAAGGGGTTGAGAATGTGGATGAACCTCTCGAACATTGATGAAAGCAGAGAAGAGGTTCCGGAGGTTCAATGGCCCCCTGCAGAATACCTCTGCAGAATAGCTCTGCAGGCATTCTGAAGAAGATGCAGTCTAGGTTCCCAGAGAGGCTGCCATCACAGCTATCTCCGCAACTGCCTGTGCAGTATTCACAGCCATCTACATCTTCTGGTTCGGCTTCAGAGATGTTCAGCTAAAAACTCAACAGCCACAAGGGTGATCTCGGAGAATAAATCAATTGCTCTGCAAGAGCGCTTCTCAAGAGTGCCCTACAATCTGACAGGCTCCCCTACAAGAGCATCGTATCGTGTAAGGGGATTCCGTACGGAGCCCTGAATCCTTAAGCCCTTAATTAAATCAAGCCCCGCTTCGATAGAGCTAATTTGTAAGACAGCCCCTACACTACAAGCCCAAAAAAAACACTCTATAGAAACATTTGATTCTCCATTACTGAGATAAACCCCCTGTGCATCCCCAAACCCTTCCGCAAGCCAGTTTCCATGTCATTTTCCATTTGCTAATCCAGTGTTGAAACAAAATCCCTAAACCCTAATCCCTGAACCCTAACCCCTGATCCATAAACCCGAACCCCTAATCCATAAACCCTAAACCCTAACCCCCAGACGCCCTAAACCCAAATCCCTAAACCCTAAACCCTAATCCCTAAACCCTAATTCCGAATGACCCAGGGTGGGAGCCCAGCGGCCTGTCTGAAGGCTGCTGGGGTTCTGGATCAAGGTGAACCTGGCCTGCCCAACTACTTCAGATAGGCCGGGCTTCAATCCTAAAATTATAAGAAGTAGATATAGGGGTTCTATAGGGATATATAGGGTTTAGGGTTTCCTGAACTTAGGGGTACCATTTTGGGGGTCCGAATAACAATCCATTCTCTCAATCCCTGCGAAAAGAGTAGCTTAATCCGTCTCTTTGTTCATTTGATTCGCCCGCACTAGCAAAACTCTAAATACATTCTGAGCACATGTAAAGCCAGTTGCCAGGTTCTTGTTATTTGGGGTAATATCCCAAGCCAAGTAGTGTAAACCCGTGATAAACCCCCTTACTTTTTAGGGGCCTTAATATTAGGATCCCTCTTCTATCCCTGTCAAGGGGATGGGGCTTACCAACCCCTAAACCCTAAACTCTAAACCCAAAAAACCTACAGGTTTACATTTGGGCTTCGTGTTCGTTAATCACGGGTCTACATTAGCCATCCTGCAACAACTTGCTGCGCGGTTCTCGGGCCTTTTGCCGCTCCCAAGGCTTGACATCGTCCTCTGCAGAAGTTCTACACTTTACATGAGCTATTTTCTAAACTCCTGGTATCCCCCTTGATAACCCTATAAAACTTCCATATACAATCCCCTATATAACCCCCCTTTAAGCAGTTGAGACGATAGCTCACATTGAAGTCTTGTGGAACGTTCCATTGAGGTGTCCTAGTTTGTTGGGTGGGGCACACGTGAAAGCTTAAGGCTTATTTGGCTTAACTCTTCATCCAAGTTGTCAACCAACGATTCAACAAGCTGCAACTTGAGCTTTGATGGCCTGCTCATTAAGCAGGGAGGGGCTTGGGCTTTGGGAACAAGCGCTACCAAGATCTAAGTTGAAAACCGTGGGGCCCCTAGTATGGGCCCTCAACCCTGGGATCCTTATATACCTAGTTTAAGGGCCCCTACAAACCCCCTAAAAGGCCTGAGGGCACATATTAGGGGCCCATACTTCTAATCTTAGACAAGAAGTCTCGGTCCCTATGACTGCTTTCGAGCTAGACCACACCCCAAGCGCACTAGATCTGCAATTTTCGTGCAATGTTGCATGCCTGCGCTCCGCAACCCTAAACACCTGTTGCAGGGTTCTTAGGATTAGGGTACCTATGGGACCCCTGGGTTTTTTGAGGACAAAAAAGGGGATCACTGTCATTCCTGGAACTCATGAAACCAACAACCTTTGCTCAACAGTTCTGAGATCTCAAACCCCAGGGTTTAGCGGTCAGGGTTTACGCCAAAAACAAGATGGTAGTTTCCCTAGATAGGGGGACCCCAACTTAGACCCCCCAAGTACTATAATCCTTATTATGGGGACCCCAAAAAAGTACCCCTAATTTTGGGAAACCCTCAAAAGTGAAGCCACAAAGGGAGCCCTGAAAAGGCAGCCGTCCTTTTCCAGCAAGCTCCGTAAATTTCCATGTTAGGTTCCAAAATACCGCTTTACTAGGTTTGGGGGGGCCCTATGGCTTTGCACGGCCTATATGATATGGAATTTAGGGTGACAAATTCAAAAAACATGTTCAGACCTACCCCTGTTTAGCTGCCGTTTGCACGATAGAGACCTCGCATATGCGCCAGAGTCCAAACTCCTAGTAACCCCCTCAATGACCCTTCCAATAATCCCATATATAGTTCCCTATATAAGCGCTCTTTAAGGAGTTTAGACTACAGCTCATACAACCCAGCATCAAAAATGTGAGGCCCCAGCGAGAAGGGCTCTCTTCGCGGCCTGAAGCGCTAGCCTGGCAGCCAGTTTGTGGCTTCATTTCGAGGTCGCTTTCAAGGGGTTGCTAGGATATATGTATACAAGAGCGTGTAGGGTCCAGCGGCTTCTCAAAATGGAGACATCCCCCATTAAACAGGGCGGGCAGGACTCACTGAGACGATCCGCCGTCTGACGCAAGCTGGCTGTAGTTTGCGCCTCGCGAGGATGCGCTGAAAGTAGATCCCACCGCGGGAATCCGGTGGCATTCTAGGATTGGGGCTTCAGGGTTTAAGGTCTAGGAGTCTAGGGTTGATGAGCAGTTGTGGGGACTACCACGAGGGGCTGCGGCGATTTTCAAAAAAGGGAAGAAATCAAAACCATAGTTCAATGGCTTCTACGGGCACTAAAACCACGCCGGGTCACACGGAAGAAAGGACTAACAAAGGCGCTGTATCTACAGGTCTTCTCGAAGAAGCTAGTCATATCTGTGATGGGCGCCCCATTGATTTCCTGACTTGTGTCATTCCTGCCAAGACGACATCATGTTTCGGGCTCTGTGCTGCATGTTCCCTTTTGCGGTTGTTGAACTCGCATGTGCCTTTGAATGCACTTATACTTCTGCGCTGGATGATCTTACTCGGACCACCATATTCAACCGCAACCTGAACTGGTTGTAAATATTCAGATACGTTGCTGAACGCTCAGGGCAGCAACTTCCTTGCAACTTGGCTTTTTCACCACGCCCGTGTGTGCAGGGGGATGGGGATTCACAAAGAGCTTACAAGATTTCACCGTACATGTATGGGGATTGGTGTCAGTCTTCAGGGGGCTGGGTATGGTGGCTTCAGGGCCTAGGATGGGGTTAATCTTTAGGCTGGTGAGACTTCCGCAGTCATCAGGCAGCCGTCTCAGTGAAGAGACTCTGCAAGCGGTAGTACCTCTGCGTGGACGTGGAGGCACACGACAGAGGGGACCCAAACATGACTGTTCTCTAGCGCAAGGCCTAAATTTAACCTGGCCAAACCCTGACCTCAGCTGGACTGCAGAAGTCAGGGCACGTGTCTTCCGCACCCGTGTTGTCACCTGACTGCAATGTGTCTAATGTCTTCGGGTTGAGGGCTGCGCTGGGATGTTGCGTGCTTCAGACTCTGCCCCAACTTGGAAAGGTTGCAGGGCTATCTTTTTCATAAGATTTCATGCAGGAGGATTGAAATCGGCCCCACGTGGTGCCACAAGGTCTGGTTTTGAGCATTGACTGTGGCAGTTGATGTATAGTCCGCCTTAAAGTAGATAGAATATGAGGTATCTGGGGATCTTACAAAAATGTACCTGAAGCCATATTCTATCTACCTAAGGGGGACCCTAGATTCCTGAAACCGCGGGCCCCGGGGCACCCCTTGGCCATGCTTCACCGCCCACGCTTCAAGAGAAGTGGAGAAGTGGATTTCCCAAATGATTCCCATGTAGCCATGTGAACTATAGTCTAAACTCCTTAAAGGGGATTATACAGGGTAGATATTCTGTAAGGGATTATATGGCTTAAGGGGCAAGCTAAGAGTTTCGACTACAGCTCATATGTACCCGGGAGACTCATACTACACAGCGTTTCCTACTAGCCCGCAGTAAGTTGAGCAGTCAATGTTGCGATCAGGTAGGATGACAAGATTATGGTGCCTTTCTGGATTTTATATCACGGACCTCAGAACGGACCACAATCCCTAAACCCTAAACCCTAAACCCTAGACCTGAACCCTAAACCCCAAACCCTAAATCCCCCAGCAAGAAAAATCAGGCCTGTGAATTGGATCGCGCGGCCCCCAGCGCCATCTTCTCCCCTCTGAGCTTCTAAAGCTGCTTCCGCCTGTGCAGATATACAAGGGTTTAGGGTTTAGGTTTAGTGGCTTGTCCAAACATACTATGGGTGTCCTTAGACATGTTGCAAGCATAAGGCTTTACGAGGAGATAGCATGAAATGCCCCATGGGAGCGGTGCTGCTCCACTCTGGAAATTTCTGTGAAGCGTAGTATAGTAGGATCCATCTCGGGTGGTTCGGCGAGACTCTGTCATTTAGGACATTACATCCAATAACCTCCCCTGCGAATTTGCAATGCACAGGTCACAGCGGCTTTTTTGGAGTATGCGCATGGGAGAACGGTGTGTGGGAGAGACTCAGCATTGCGAAATCGATGCTTGCAGTTCGGGCTGCAATTTCAATCGTTTTCGGCTCGCACTGGTCACAAGGACAACAATGCAAGGACTTGCTGAGGCACAATCCACGGAAAGTACGTGCTTCTGCCGGTAACCAATGACTTAGACGGCCAACCCCTCTTTTTTTTTCTAGGAAAATACAGCGCCTAGCGCGGGTGAAGTCCGGGATTGAAACTAGCGACCAGAGCGCCTGCAGCCTAGCTTCCACCTGGAAGGGACACCTCCGAAACACTGCTGAGGGGCGAATCGATGCTTACAACCCTTGCACTTCCAGTTGGCGCCCTCCCTGACGAGCTCATGGCTGGTGTGAACTCCTAACATCCTGAGGTCATGCCCATTGCGTATGCAAGGCAAGCTGAGGGCCCATTGCACTTTACAGGTGGCCCACTTTGCAGACATCAGCAGGCCACAACTTAAGCAGCTCCTGCCACCGAACTTGGTGAGCGGACCCCAAATATGAGCCGGGTGCGTTTCAGGCAAATGACTAAGCGTCTCAACCTTCCTAGGCAGCTTGGGGCCCTGTCGTCTGAAACTGCACCCTTTAAGACTGAACCAGAAATGGGCACGCTCCAAGAGCAGCCGTTGCAGTCTCCACGTACGCTTGTCAAGCCACTCATTGTAGCTTCGTGCAAGGTGGTGCCTCATGGAAGTTTCTAGTTTACGACTGGCGCTGCCAGCTAAATGATCCGCCTCTTGATTTGCTTTGAAAGCCCAGCTGCGGCCAACCCCTCTATAAGCCTATAATATGGTAGCTTCCATTTTCTCTTCCATCATCCGTATAGAAGCCCGACATAGTCCCTATGATCCCTATAGTCTCTTTAGTTTCCATGTTCCATTCTCCTTGTAAAACCCCAATATACACCCTGCACGCAAAAGCCTGCCTCGATATTCAGCATCCGTATGAACAGCGGCCTGGGGCGCGCTTTTTGAATTTAGTGTTTGGAGCGTAGGTCTTTGGGTGTAAGGTGGAAGTTGCTCATTTTGAAGGCTTCGTGTCGAGGGCTTGCGATTGTGAGTAGTCGGCATGAAGCTATCTCCGATCATGAGGGCCTGCACATCCTTGGGCTGTAGGCGTTTGGGCTTTCGGCTTCAGGCTCCCAGCGTTGTTGGGCTCAGCGATCTGAAGCATAGGGTCTAACCACACCACTGGGACACCTGAAGTTAGATTCGGCGGCCTAAACTTCTGTAACCAACCGTGATACCATTGGGCAGGAAGAACCGGATATCTAATCTAATCCAGACAAGTTGCCCTAATCATCAGGCATCCTTAATACCTGGCTCCAAAGGTCTGCATGCAAAAGCCTAAACCTTTTTATACGCGGCAATTGTGCCAAGCCTGACATACCTACTTTGGAAGAGCTGAGGTAAAAACAGTCTAGCCTCCCGCAGAGAAGAACCCCAAACAAGGATCTACATTATGCCCCAGACGGCGATACCATAGGAGGTTCAAAAAAGGGAACCCTGAATCTCAAGAACCCCACAAACGCCAAGGCCCCCTGCAGTCGCGGATCGCGATGTCGTCGTGGTAACCAAAGGTCTTCTCCAAACATGACATGCCAGAAGTACCTGCTTTTGCTGGGCTTGCTGGGATTTAGAGAACTCAGCAATCATGGCTCAGAATTTGAGATCCAGTGTTGAAACTTGGCATTACGTCTCAGGGTTTTGAAGATGTCGGCGCCGCAGACATGTTGTCCGATTCCCAAACATGGTGACCCACACTTTGGGACAGCTGAGTAGCTAGGGAAAGGCTTTCCAGGATTTGAGGATGAGCATGAGGTTTAGACTAGGCAGCAGCAAATTGAGCAAAGCCGGGGCACATGGCCAGCTGACAAGGGGTGCGCCCGCGAGTGTCGGGTTTCCACAGCACCTGGAGCCAGTCAGTCAGTCAGTCAGTCATACGCCAGGCGGCGCGTGGACAGAAAAGAAACGGCAAACCGTGTCACGCCAAACTCGGGGATTCTGTACAAGTCTGACTAGCTCACGGTGACCGTTCACAATTTGAAAGGCTTTATTCCTAACCTCGGCAACCCATTCACGTCTTGGCCTCCCTACCCGTCTAACGTACTTGCTGGTGGCTGCTTGCAAACTTCCGTGGATAAAGGACGAGCTGTGCATC